GACCTGGAATGGCATCAAACCTTTTTCTTTCAAGTCTTCTGATTTCCTTTTTCTAGAAGCAAGTCTTTTGGTTTCTGGAATGGGAAACTCTTACCATCACCTGGTGGATTGCAGCGGCCGCGTCCACCACCTCCCCTGCGTTACATGTCTCCACGTGAGAGCCCGTGTGCCGTCCTTTATCAAACGTTGCAACATATGCAGTGTTGTAATGGTCTACGATAAGTTTACGTTTTGCAATAAAACTTCTCTTGTGAATTTTTTCACAATTAGACCTCGATTGCAAAAAAAAAAAATGCAACAAAACAATTTTTTGTAAAAATTTTTGTAACAAGACCTGTGTTGCAATGGTGGGGCGAGTTCGGTGGCTTGATGCGGCAAATCTGACGGCTCGCGACTCGGCTGATCTTGACGCGTAGCACGCCCTGAAATGGCATCGGACTTTTTTTAGGGTGTCTTTTTTTTAGGGTTTATTTATCAATCGGGCAGTTGTCGATCCACTTCTTTGACGGCCCACCAAGCGGAGTCAAAAAGCCCGGGAAAACCTCGCCGGAAATGGAGCGCGGCGGCGGCGAAATTTCCGCAATCTCTCCGCTCCCCTCCCACCCACTCCACTGTGACCAGCTCTCCTCGCGCCCTCGCCTCCGCGACCAGCAGCTCCCGCTACACGCACCGGCCAGGCGCCCGAGCCCTAGCGGGGCGGCATGGACTCGGCGATGCTCTCCAGCACCTGTGCCGGCCTCCGCGCCCCGGAGGAGGAGGACGACGACGGAGGCGCCGTCGGCTACGTCAAGGGCGAGACTGCCTCGGTACCCCACCCCACGCCCCTCCTCTCGCGCCTCACTCGCGCTCCCCTCTGGCCTTTTGGTGTTCGCTGACTGCCTGACTTCCGCCGCGCGTTTGTGCTGACAATCTGAAGGATCTGCAGAGGCTGCTGCGGCGGGACGACCCGGAGCGGCGGGAGGTCTTCAAGCAGGTCTGCAAGTGGAGGATCGCGTCCAGAGATCTGATGCCCATCATCGAGAACTACCAGTCCGACCGCAACCTCGTCATCACGGCAGGTAGATTTTCTATCCCCCTTCCTGAAGCTCTCAAGTTATTGTCATGGTCTGCACGGACGGAACCCGCACAAGATCTGTCAGTCTCGAGCAATTAGATTAGAGAACTGATTTTGTGGGTAGAGGAGTCTCTGACACTGTCCACATTTTGCTGTCTTGATTCGCTGAAGCTTATGTGCACATTATGTAACAACCAGCTTATATTATTTCTCCTATTGTGATACTGGCCATCATTATGTAACAACCAGCTTATCTGCAAATTATGATACTGGCCATCATTTCTCCTATTGTGCATACCTGTGCAGTTCTTTTGTGCAACCAGCTTATACTGTTGAACAAAAACTAGCGTCTGCCATTTCGGATCTGTTTGTTAAATAACAGTATCCTCTATCTATTTTTAGTATGCATTTTTTTCTTATCCGAGGATACCAGTATGTAGTTTTGAACTTCAGGAAAATCACAAACTTGGTTATGCATGGAATGGAAGAGTTAGTTAGCCAGACTGAAGTTCATCATCCCTCTACTCCTTATATTGACAAATATACATCATTTTTGAACTTGGTTATGCATGGAAGGCCCCAGACTCTACTCCCTATATTCACAAATATGCATTGCTCTAGCCACTGAATTGGTCTCCATGGTGAATTTTTTTAGCAAATTTCCGCCATAAATCTTTGAGCATTAATCTCTTGAGAAACAGAATCTTGATCGCTACTTTCGGCCATAACAATTTGGTAAAATCTGTAAGAAATTATTATGGGGGTAATTCAGTCTTATAGATTAGGATATGGTAATCTGATAAGAATGCACACACCTTCGTGGCATGTTTTGACCTTATAGACCTAAATATCTGTTACTCTAAGGGTCAAATTTTGATTTACTTGTAATTCATCTGGAATTGAGTCTTATCACTGTAATTAATCTGATAAGATGTCAAAACTAGTACATATGTTGCCCTAAGCACATAATGAAAAGAAATTATTGTGATCTAACTAATTTGTAGTTGCTCGCCATTAAGAGCCTGCATTTTCAGGCGCAGAAGGAGAAGGCTGCACGGGTTAAGCGGTAAGAATGACAACATCGATAATCATCCCCTATCATCTGATGGAGAAACATCGCAAGCACGCAAGCGCAGGTAATTTCCTGCATAGAGTTGCTTACATGAGTTAATTCTATTGGCGTGATGTGTTTTTCTTTTGAGTTTGTTACTGTTAATGAAAGATATGCAAAGCTTTTGTGCGTGCTCTAAAAAGACTGTTTTACTCTTAAAAGGCCTTTTGTATCAGAAAGTATGATTGCTGACAAATGTCGGGAGTTTTGCCATTTTGTACTCTAAACCATGAAATTTACATATTTTTGTTTACCTTTATATTAAATGCCGTGGGATAAGTGTATGCACAAACATTTAGTTTTGCAAAACCACATCACATTATTTGGTATTGTATAACATTTATTCTTTTGACTATACTACATAGCATGTATTGTGATGTTTGTTTTTTAGTTTCGTCATAGGCAAACATACGACTAATTTAGGAGTGCAGGCAGGTTGCATCTTCCCTCTCTAAGAACTGAGTGCAAACATGCCGCAGATATATGAAGTTATTTATGTTGCCTTGTCCGTTTTGATGTCCTGAGTGTTTCCTTTCATCTATTGCAGAACCAAAACTAAGGAGCTGCCACCGGTGAATCTTTCACCAACTATATCACAACATCAAGAGACTCCGCAAGGCACGGATTCTGATGATGACACCGTTGGATGTATGCTTAGGTGAGCTGATTCGGCTTTATATACATCAAGGACTGATTATTGAATGATCCCTAGGTGAGTTTTATAAAGGACCAGATGTGTCATTTTTTCTCAGTGGCCATGAAGCTGTATTACATGCTCAATAGTCAGTTAACTATAGTTATCAGTAAGATGGGTTGCATAACTTAGCAGGCCAAAGATGTCAAAACTAGTACATACGTTGCCCTAAGCACATCATGAAAATAAATTAGTGTGATCTAATAACTAATTGGTAGTTACTTGCCATTAAGTCTAGCCTGTATTTTCAGGCGCATAAGGAAAAGGCTGGATGGGGTAAGCAGGAAGTATGACAACAACGATAATCATCCAGTATCATCGGATGAAGAAACATTGCAAGCACGCAAGCGCAGGTAATTTCCTGCATGGAGTTGCTTACACGAGTTAATTCTATTGGTGTGATATGTTTTCTTTGAGCTTGTTACTAACACTGTTAATGAAAGATATGCGAAACTTTTGTCTGTGCTCTGAAAAGACTGTCATACTATTGAAAGGCCTTTTATATCAGAAAGTATGATTGCTAACAAATGCCCGGAGATTCTGCAGAGATATTTTTGGTTAATTTTATTTTAGGTTGCTATTGATTATGCTGGAAATGCCCTGAGATGTATGAGCAAACATTTGTTTATGCAAAACAACATCACATTCTTTTGATTACTCTCCATAGCATGTATTGTGATGTTCTTTTTTTAGTTTCGTCGTAGGCAAATGTGGAAATAATTTAGGACTCTAGGTTGCATTTTCCCTTGCTAAGAACTTTTAGCTTCGTCGTAGGCAAATGTGGAAATAATTTAGGACTCTAGGTTGCATTTTCCCTTGCTAAGAATTGAGTGCAAACATGCCACAGATACACGAAGTTATTTATATTGCCTTGTCCGTTTTGATGTCCTGAGTGTTTACCTTCATCTATTGCAGAACCAAAACTAAGGAGCTGTCATTGGAGAATCTTTCACCGATCATATCACAGCATCAAGAGACTTCACAAGGCATGGATTCTGACGATGAGACCATACGATCTGTGCTTAGGTGAGCTTATTTGACTTTATATACATCAAGAACTGATTACTGAATGTTCACCAGGTGAGTATTATAAAGGATCAGCTGTCCCATTCTTTCTCAGTGGCCGTGAATATGTGTTACATGCTCAACACTCAGTCATGTATAGTTATCAGTAAGATGGGATGCATAACTAGCAGGCCAAAGGTGTCAAAACTAGTACATACATGGCCCTAAGCAAATCGTGAAAAGAAATCAGTGTGATTTAATAATTATTGGTAGTTACTTGCCATTAAGTGTAGCCTGCATTTTTTCAGGCGCATAAGGAAAAGACTGCCTTTGTTAAGCAATAGGAATGATAACGGCGATAATCATCAAATATCATCTGATGAAGAAACATTGCAATTGCCTAAGCGCAGGTAATTTCCTGCATGTAGTTGCTTTCATGAATTAACTTGATTGGCGTGATATGTTTTTCTTTGAGTTTGTTCCTGTCAATGAAAGATATGTAACGCTTTTGTGTATGTGCTCTATAAAAGACTTTTTTACTATTAAAAGGCTTCTACTCCCTCCGTTCCTAAATATTTGTCTTTTTAGATATTTCAAATGGAGTACCACATACGGATGTATATAGACATATTTTAGACTGTAGATTCACTCATTTTCCTCCGTATGTAGGCACTTGTTCAAATTTCTAGAAAGACAAATATTTAGGAACGGAGGGAGTATATTTGAAGTATGTTTTCTGACAAATGCCTAGAAATTTTGCCAGTATGCAATCTAAATCGTTAAATGTAGATATTTTTGTCAACTTTATTTGAAGTTGCCAGTGATTATGCTGGAAATGCCATGGGATGTATGAACAAACATTTGTCTCTGCAAAAACAACATCACATCATTTGGTCTTGTATGACATTTATTCTTTTGAGTACACTTCATAGCATGTATTGTGATGTTCGTCTTTTAGTTTTGTCACAGGCAAATGTGCAACTAATTTAGGACTCTAGGTTGCATTTTTTCCTTGATAAGAATTGAGTGCAAACATGCCACAGATATATGAAGTTATTTATGCTGCCTTGTCTGTTTTGATGTCCTTAATGTTTCCCTTCATCTATTGCAGAACCGAAACTAAAGAGTTGCCGTTGATGGATCTTTCACCGAGTTTATCACAGCATCAAGATACTTCGCAAGGCACAGATTCTGATGGCGAGACCGTAGGATCAATGCTTAGGTGAGCTCACTCGGTTTTATACACATCACGAACAAACCACTGAATGTTCAGCAGCTGATATTATAGAGAACCAGCTGTGTCATTCTTCCTCAGTGGCAGTGAACCTGTATTGTATGCTCAACAATCAGTTTTTGTAGTTACCAGTAAGATGGGTTGCATAACTTAGCAGGCCAAAGATGTCAAAACTAGTACATTCGTTGCCCTAAGCACATCATGAAAATAAATTAGTGTGATCTAATAACTAATTGGTAGTTACTCGCCATTAAGTCTAGCCTGTATTTTTAGGCGCATAAGGAAAAGGCTGGATGGGGTAAGCAGGAAGTATGACAACAATGATAATCATCCAGTATCATCTGATGAAGAAACATTGCAAAAACGAAAGCGCAGGTAATTTCCTGCATGGAGTTGCTTACATGAGTTAATTCTATTGGCGTGATATGTTTTCTCTGAGCTTGTTACTGACACTGTTAATGAAAGATATGCAAAGCTTTTGTCTGTGCTCTGAAAAGACCGTCATACTACTGAAAGGCCTTTTATATCAGAATGTATGATTGCTAACAAATGCCCGGAGATTCTGCAGAGATATTTTTGGTTAATTTTAGTTTAGGTTGCTATTGATTATGCTGGAAATGCCCTGAGATGTATGAGCAAACATTTGTTTCTGCAAAACAACATCACATTCTTTGGTCCTGTATGAGATTTATTCTTTTTATTACTCTTCATAGCATGTATTGTGATGTTCTTTTTTTAGTTTCGTCGTAGGCAAATGTGGAAATAATTTAGGACTCTAGGTTGCATTTTCCCTTGCTAAGAACTTTTAGCTTCGTCGTAGGCAAATGTGGAAATAATTTAGGACTCTAGGTTGCATTTTCCCTTGCTAAGAACCGAGTGCAAACATGCCACAGATACATGAAGTTATTTATGTTGCCTTGTCTGTTATGATGTCCTGAGTGTTTATCTTCATCTATTGCAGAACCAAAACTAGGGAGCTGCCATTGGAGAGTCTTTCACCGATCATATCACAGCATCAAGAGACTTCACAAGGCACGGATTCTGACGATGAGACCATAGGACCTGTGCTTAGGTGAGGTCATTTGACTTTATATATATCAAGAACTAATTACTGAATGTTCACCAGGTGAGTATTGTAAAGGATCATCTGTCTCATTCTTTCTCAGTGGCCGTGAATATGTGTTACATGCTCAACAATCTGTCATGTATAGTTGTCAGTAAGATGGGATGCATAACTAGCAGGCCAAAGGTGTCAAAACTAGTACATACATGGCCCTAAGCACATCGTGAAAAGAAATCAGTGTGATTTAATAATCAATTGGTAGTTACTTGCCATTAAGTGTAGCTGCATTTTTTCATGTGCATAAGGAAAAGGCTGCCTCTGTTAAGCAATAAGAATGATAACGGTGATAATCATTCAATATCATCTGATGAAGAAACATTGCAATTACGTAAGCGCAGGTAATTTTCTGCATGTAGTTGCTTTCATGAGTTAATTCTACTGGCGTGAATGCGTGATATGTTTTTCTTTGAGTTTGTTCCTGTCAATGAAAGATATGCAACGCTTTTGTGTGTGTGCTCTAAAAAAGACTTTTTTACCATTAGAAGGCTTCCATATTAGAAGTATGTTTTCTGACAAATGCACGGCAATTTTGCCAGTATGCAATCTAAACCGTTAAATGCAGATATTTTTGTTAACTTTATTTGAAGTTGCCAGTGTTATGCTGGAAATGCCATAGAATGTATGAACAAACATTTGTTTCTGCAAAAACATCACATTATTTGGTTTTGTATGACATTTATTCTTTTGAGTACACTCCATAGCATGTATTGTGATGTTCGTCTTTTAATCTTGTTATAGGCAATAGTGCAACTAATTTAGGACTCTAGGTTGCATTTTTCCCTTGATAGGAATTGAGTGCAAACATGCCAGACATATGAAGTTATTTATGCGGCCTTGTCTGTTTTGATGTCCTCAATCTTTGCCTTCATCTATTGCAGAACCGAAACTAAAGAGCTGCTGTTGATGGATCTTTCACCGAGTATATCACAGCATCAAGAGACTTCGCAAGGCACGGATTCTGATGGCGAGACCATGGGATCAATGCTTAGGTGAGCTCATTCGGTTTTATGCACATCAAGAACAGACTACTGAATGTTCACCAGCTTTATATTATAAAGGACCACCTGTGTCATTCTTCCTCAGTGTCCGTGAACCTGTATTGCATGCTCAACAATCGGTTTTGTATATTTATCAGTAAGATGGGATGCATAAGTTAGCAGGCCAAAGATGTCAAAACTAGTACATATGTTGCCCTAAGCACATAATGAAAAGAAATTATTGTGATCTAATAACTAATTTGTAGTTGCTTGCCATTAAGTCTAGCCTACATTTTCAGGCGCATAAGGAAAAGGCTGGATGGGTTAAGCAGGAAGTATGACAACAACGATAATCATCCAATATCATCTGATGAAGAAACATTGCAAGCACGCAAGTGCAGGTAATTTCCTGCATGGAGTTGCTTACATGAGTTAATTCTATTGGCGTGATATGTTTTCTTTGAGTTTGTTATACTGTTAATGAAAGATAGGCAAAGCTTTTGTGTGTGCTCAAAAAGGAATGTTTCACTATTAAAAGGCCTTCTATATCAGGCAGTATGATTGCTGACAAAATGCCTGGAAATTCTGCCAGAAATATTTTTGGTTAATTTTATTTAAGTTGCCATTGATTATGCTGGAAATTTTATGAGATGTATGAGCAAACATTTGTTTCTGCAAAACATCACATTATTTGGTCCTGTATGACTTTATTCTTTTGACTACTCTCCATAGCATGTATTGAGATGTTTTTTATTTATAGTTTCATCGTATGCAAATGTGCAACTAATTCAGGACCCTAGGTTGCATTTCCCCTTGCTAAGTACTGGGTGCAAACATGCCACAGATTTACAAAGTTATTTATGCTGCCTTGTCCGTTTTGATGTTCTGAGTGGTTTGATACATATCACAGCATCAAGAGACTTGTTCCTGGTGTTGAGACTACTGGTTCAGTTATCATGTAAGCTCATTTGAGTTATTTACATCACATACTTGGAATAGCTTGGTATTTTGTTTGAGATAGAATAGCTTCATATTTGAGGGTGTATGTTTTCCTATGTTATGCACTTATGCCTAGTGAAAGCCGAAAATAGGTAGACATGAATAACCAGCAAGAGTAACTTCCCACCTTTTCAGGGACACTCCTCTCCATCCGGAGCTAAACAATAACGGTGTCCGTGCTGGTGAGGCTGAACTTCTAGATGACTTGAGTGAGCCTGAGCTGGATGACCGTGAACATACTGAACAACGGATCATCGACGACAGAGACATGTCTGAACCTGGGGACAGGTCAGGTGCTTCTTTCAGCCAGAAGGCCAGTTTGAAAAGAAGACACAAAAATGGTAATTGATGACGACGACGACGATGAGCAGTTTGCCTTGAAATTTAGCGAGGATAAAATGTTGGATCCTGCAGCTGTTTGGAGTAGATGGTCTGCTACTGCCGTGCTTCTGAGTTGGGAGCACTGGAATTTTTTAGCAGTAAGCAGATGCAACCTGTTTGTACATGATTTGTTTTATTTTTGAGGCTGATTCTGATGTTAATTTTGGATGGAGCCATCTTGCAATGCTAGCAAATTTCTTATTTGAGATGCCAATTCATTTTCTCTCTTTTGCGACAAAATATTTTCTGTTATGTGGCAGACGTGAATGAACATCAACCGAAACCATATATGTGTAGTACGATTGCCACAGGTTGTGAGCTAATAGATACTCTCTCCGTTCCAAAATAGATGACCCAACGTTGTATTAATTTTGTACTCAAGTTAGTACAACGTTGGATCATCTATTTTGGAACGGAGGGAGTACCTCTCTGGCACGTTGGTTTCAGTCTGCTGTAGCAGGCCGCGACGGTGACCCCGGCGGTGCCGGCGCCGTCGGCGCTCTCGTGCCTCCATCAGTCGTCGCCGGATTAGCTAGTCCAGTCCCCGGCACATCACGGCGAGCACTGTTCAAAAGGGTAACCTGCGACGGCTGCTAATTGTAGCAGCCGATCTAACTGTGGATCGTATGAGAGGATTGATTAGTCCTTGCAGCTTGCTCTGTTTTCTAGGTTCAGACCCACTCGAATTAATAAGAAAGGAGTAATTTGGAAAATCAAACCAACAAGTGGTCCCATGGTCTAGTGGTTAGGACATTGGACTCTGAATCCAGTAACCCGAGTTCAAGTCTCGGTGGGACCTGTTTTTTCGTATCATTTTGTTTATGTGCTTGAATTTTTTTGCCATTTTTTTTTCAAGGAAAAAAGCCTCATAATGCATCCTATATATATTGTCAATTATGATTTCTTATTTGGTTCTCACTATTATTCTGAATCATCTCTACAAAGTTCGTAACCTGTTTTTTCGTATCATTTTGTTATGTGCTCGAATTTTTTTGCCATTCCTTTTTTAAGGAAAAAAAGCCTCATAATGCATCCTATATATATTGTCAATTATGATTTCTTATTTGGTTCTCACTATTATTTTGAATCATCTCTACAAAGTTCGTATTTTTGTTTGCTATTTACCATGCAACAATGCTATCATTCTCTATTTCTTATTCACACAACGCCATATTTTTTCAAGCGTTGTTAGAGCAACTTCAACAGTTCTTCTAAAAAAACTTCTTATAAAAGTGCTTTTACAGAATGTCCCTAAACTTTAGGGAAAGTTTTCTGAGAGCTACTTTTGTCAGATTCCGTAGATTTCTTCCCCTAAATCTGTTTCTATTTTATCTTTCATTAAACAAAATGAGATAAATGGCCTAGGGCCCGCCAATCAGTGATACACGTGACGGTCTCCGATGAGGGAAGTTGGGGTCAAGTTTACAGGATCCTGTAAATTTATTCCACGTTTACGGGATCTCTTTGAGGCGTTGTTTGGCCCTAACGGTAGTTTTCTTTTACAGAAACATGATTTGTTCGAGTTGCTCTTATGCTATTTTATATCTCTTTTTGTCTCAAATACGTGAACGATGCACCAAACTTTCTTTATCTTATTTCTCATCGAAATAGTTTGTGGCCACTAGCCTGTATACGTTGATCACGATATACAGTGAGATGTGGCGAAACGATATCTTCTCAGTTTCATATTTTGCCTCTCTTTTGGTACCACACTTTTCAAGTCAGGTGTCAAACAAAGCAGATTTCTAAGTTTCTAACTGTTTCGATGGACCGAAGGCTCGTGGAGTTGATATGGTTTTTAGGAATTTGTATCAGTATTTGGTTTTGACTTTGGAAAACAAGACAGGGGAAAGCAGATTTTCTCAGACACTCGACGGTCGTCAGATAGGATGCCTGACCCGCTCTATTATTAATTATATAAATGCTATTCAAAAATCTAATCAACAGGTGGTCCCATGGTCTAGTGGTTAGGACATTGGACTCTGAATCCAGTAACCCGAGTTCAAGTCTCGGTGGGACCTTTTTTTCCTTCGGTTTTTCCTTGCTAAAAAACGTGACATTCCCCTTTTCTTTTCAAGAAAAACCTTCCTGATTGATCATATCTTTATCGGAATGTATTACTTCTACTTTCTTATTTGGTTGTTCGCTATTTTTTTGAATCTTCTTTATAGGGTTTGCTCTATTTTGGTTTGCAATTTTCCATACGACAATACGACCATTCCATATTTCTTATTTACTAGAGTAATTTTTATCCCAATCAACATCGTCGTGTCTCCTGTATTTTTCACGGACGCGTCTAGCGAGCGGTCGCTGGCGCTCCGCAGCGGCTGCCACTTTTAGCAAGTTTATATTCTTATCAAACAAAAAAGGAAAGATTCTTTCCTATTGTAAAAAAAATAGAAAAGGCATGTAACATGTTTTTAATTACGGATTAGAAAGCAACCAGGTGTGAACACATTAATTTAGAGTTCCTTTTTATTTTAAAAGCCATAACTTTAGAACCAAACATCGAAATTAAGATCCGCTTTCACCGTTGGGACCTTTTTTTCCTTTGGTTTTTCCTTGCTAAAAAACATGACATTCCCCTTTTCTTTTCAAGAAAAACCTTCCTGATTGATCATATCTTTATCGGAATGTATTACTTCTACTTTCTTATTTGGTTCTTCGCTATTTTTTGAATCTTCTTTATAGGGTTTGCTCTATTTTGGTTTGCAATTTTCCATACGACAATACGACCATTCCATATTTCTTATTTACTAGAGTAATTTTTATCCCAATCAACATCGTCGTGTCTCCTGTATTTTTCACGGACGCGTCTAGCGAGCGGTCGCTAGCGCTCCGCAGCGGCTGCCACTTTTAGCAAGTTTATATTCTTATCAAACAAAAAAGGAAAGATTCTTTCCTATTGTAAAAAAAATAGAAAAGGCATGTAACATGTTTTTAATTACGGATTAGAAAGCAACCAGGTGTGAACACATTAATTTAGAGTTCCTTTTCATTTTAAAAGCCATAACTTTAGAACCAAACATCGAAATTAAGATCCGCTTTCACCGTTGGGACCTTTTTTTCCTTTGGTTTTTCCTTGCTAAAAAACATGACATTCTCCTTTTCTTTTCAAGAAAAACCTTCCTGATTGATCATATCTTTATCGGAATGTATTACTTCTACTTTCTTATTTGGTTCTTCGCTATTTTTTGAATCTTCTTTATAGGGTTTGCTCTATTTTGGTTTGCAATTTTCCATACGACAATACGACCATTCCATATTTCTTATTTACTATAGTAATTTTTATCCCAATCAACATCGTCGTGTCTCCTGTATTTTTCACGGACGCGTCTAGCGAGCGGTCGCTAGCGCTCCGCAGCGGCTGCCACTTTTAGCAAGTTTATATTCTTATCAAACAAAAAAGGAAAGATTCTTTCCTATTGTAAAAAAAAATAGACAAAGCATGTAACATGTTTTTAATTACGGATTAGAAAGCAACCAGGTGTGAACACATTAATTTAGAGTTCCTTTTCATTTTAAAAGCCATAACTTTAGAACCAAACATCGAAATTAAGATCCGCTTTCATCGTTGGAACCCTTACGACGTGCTCTTCGAAACTAGATCCCGCATGGGTATTGTTTCGATGATTT